GATGTCTCTGCAATTGTTGAGTTGGAACATTAATGGTTGTAACATTCCGGAAAAAAGGAAGAAAATATTTCATATATTAAAAAAGAACAATTGGACATTATCTGTTTACAAGAAACACATGTGACGAGGCTCCACAGAAAAGTGTTAATAAATAAAAGATTAGGCCAGGAATTTGTTTCGTCGGATAAAGTGAAGAAGAGAGGCGTGGTGATATATGCAAAAGAGAGCCTGTCACCTAAATTCCTATTTAAAGATGAACATGGAAGAATTTTGGCTATTGAGATACAATATCAAGGAGAGAAACTGTTGATACTAGGAATCTATGCACCTAATTGTGATGGGATGATGAGCTGCTTGTGCGTAAAATCGTATCCCCTCAGAGTTTGTTCAAGTCCACAAACCTCTGTCTGTGACAGAGCCCCTCAGACATGGCTACTCTAGTCACTAGCAGATTCCGACAGTGGTTGCTTTCGTAATCGCTTCCAACATAAAAGCTCCTTAACGGAAACATGTCTTCTGGAATCTCTGCGTGACAGTTTCCGGCGAGGAGTGGGTGTTCTTACAGGAGGTCGTGAAACCTCTCCACTGTTTTCGCTGGAAGTGTCTCTGAGCCATCCCTCCAGCTCAGCTCCTCCCCCCTGCTGGTTCCCTCATCAGCTGCTGCGTCTCTCCCAACCTGTGTGAGCCCTTTCACCTCCCTGTTGGTTTCCTCTTCAGCTGCTGCGTCTCTCCCAGCCTGTGTGAGCCCTTTCACCTCCCTTCCGTCCGATGGCAGTTCCCTGACATCCACCTCCCCTCCAGGGCCCCCTTCACCCCCTCTCGCCCCCTCCTCTACGGGCGGTGAGGAGGCAAAACCCCGAATGAACTTCCTTCATCTTCCGATGTCTCGAACACTTCTCTCAACCTGTTGCGGTTCCTGGTCTCGAAGTACACCTCCTCCTCAGAGTCCATCTCCCCTTCCCCTTCCGAGTCCGGGAATCCTTCCAACTCCTCCCCTTCATCAGTGGTCCCAAAGTATTCCCTCCGGAACCTCTCCACAGGCTGAGGTTTCCTTGGGAACCTTTGATGGAACGTTTCTATCAATACCTCGTCATTGATATCTTCAGCCATTACCCAAGTGTTTTCTGACTCCGGTTCTCCTTCCCACGCTACCAAATACTCCACCTGATCCCCCTTCCACCTGGCGTCGAGGATTTCTGCCACATGGCTGCTGCATTCTCTTTCTTCTACGACCGGTCCCCACGTGGCCAGCCCTTCTCGTCCCCCTTCGTACGGTGACAGTAACGACCTGTGAAATACTGGGTGCAGTTTCATGTGGTTGGGTAACCGGAGCCTGAAAGCCACTGGGTTGACCTGTTGAATGACCTCAAAGGGACCCAACCTCCTGGGTCTTAATTTCTTACAACCTCCTTTGAACGGCAACCCTTGGGTTGACAGCCACACCCTATCTCCCACCCTTATGGTTTCACCTTCCCTTCGGTTCTTGTCTGCCTGCCTCTTGTATTCTTCCTTCGCCCTTTCTAAGTTGAGTTGGAGCTGACGATGGATTGCTTCCATTTCTTCCACAAAATGCTCGGCTGCCGGTACGCTCCATCTCTCCCCTCTCCCCCTGGGAAAGCCCTGGGATGACACCCATAATTAGCCAAGAAGGGGCTCATCCCTGTGGACACATTCTCGGCATTGTTGTAGGCAAATTCCGCCAGCGCCAACTTTTCTACCCAGTCATTCTCTCTGTCATTGACATAACACCTCAGGTATTGCTGGAGGACACCGTTTGCTCTTTCCGCCTGCCCGTTGGTTTCAGGGTGCCGGGCAGTCGAAAAATTGACCTCCACCTGCAGTAAGCTCATGAGCTTCCTCCAGAACCTGGAAGTAAATTGTTTTCCTCGGTCTGAGACCACCCTCAATGGCACCCCGTGCAACCTAAAAATGTTTTCTACAAATAACTTCGCTGTCTCTTCCGCCGTGACTGCATGCGAGCAAGCTACAAAGTGGCACATCTTTGTTAGTAGGTCTACCACCACCATGATGGCTGTTTTCCCTTTGGACTTCGGCAGATCAGTCATAAAATCTATCGACACTGCCTCCCAAGGTCGTTCTGGGGTTGGTAAGGGTTCTAATAGCCCCGCCGGCGCCCGCCTTTCCCCTTTGGCTCGCTGGCATTGCTCGCACCCTCTTACATACTCACGTACATCTTCCCTCACCTTAGGCCACCAAAATTCCCTGGTGACCAACCACATGGTTTTGTGTTGTCCAAAATGCCCCGCCGTAGGGCTGTCGTGCAACTGCTTGAGTACCCTCCCCCTTAACTCTCCTTCAGGGATATACAGTGCCCCTTTGTAATACAAAGCTCCATTTCTTTCCTCAAAACCCCCTGGTTCCTCTCCATCACCCCTAAGACCTCTGAGCTTATTCTGGGCGTATTCATCATTCTCTGTTTCCTCTACCAGTTCTCTTTGTCCCACCAATGCCGCCCCACACACCCAGCGGTCTTCTGGAATGACATGTCTCTCTTCGGGTGCCCCCTCCCCTCCAAATATTCAGGTTTGCGTGAGAGAGCGTCCGCCCTAATGTTCTCTGGGCCTGGCACGTAACTAATCTCAAAGTTAAATTTGGAGAACTCCTGGGCCCATCTCACTTGCCGTTGGTTGAGCACTCGTGCCGTCCTCCAATACTCTAGGTTCTTGTGGTCAGTGCACACTTGCACCTTATGTTGTGCGCCAATTAGCAGGTGCCTCCATCTCCGGAACGCCTCATGAATGGCTAGTAGTTCTCGGTCATACACCGTGTAGTTCCTCTCGGATTTGTTCAGCTTTCGCGAAAAAAGGCACACGGTCTCCACTCTGACCCCTTCTTGCCTGGCTGCAGAAGCACCACCCCAATCGCTCTGTCTGATGCGTCAGTTTCCACTCTCATCGGTTTTGTAAATCCACATGCAGGAGTTGTTGTTCCGAGGCGAAGGCCCTTTTTAGTTCCTCAAATGCTCGCTCCGCCTCCTCAGTCCACACGAACTTCTTCTTACTGCTGAGACAGTCCGTAATGGGCGCCGTCAGGTGGGCAAAGTTTCGGATGAACTTACGATAGAAGTTCCCAAATCCTAGGAACCTCTGCACATCCTTCTTTGTTTTGGGTGCTTTCCATTCCAGCACAGCCTGGACCTTGCCGGGATCCATGGCCAATCCCTTGTCTGACAGGCGATACCCCAGGAATTCCACCTCCTTGGTATGAAACTGACACTTCTCCAGTTTCACCCACAGCTGGTTGGCTTGCAGCCTGCTCAACACTTCTCTGACGTCTCTCACATGCTGCTCCTCATTCTCAGAATACACCAACACGTTGTCTAAAAAGGCCACACAATTCTTGTAAAGCAAAGGCCCCAGGACGTGGTTCATAAACGATTGAAAGGTTGCGGAGCCTGCTTGGAGGCCGAAGGGCATAACCAAATATTCAAATGCCCCTAAAGGGGTGAACATAGTGGTTTTCCATTCATCCCCCTTCCTTATTCGTACCAGGTTGTACGCCCCCCTTAGGTCCAGCTTTGTGAAAATCTTTCCCTTCCGCACCCTTGTCAAAATGTCGTCAATCCTGGGCATAGGGAAGGCTACTGGTTCTGACACTGCATTTAAGGCCCTGAAGTCACACACCAGCCTCGGCTTGTTCGTGTTTTTCTTATCCACAAAAACACTGGGCTGCCCCCACCGCCCTGGACTCTCTGATGAACCCTCTCTTCAGGTTCTTGTCAATGAACTCTCTTAACTCCTGCATCTCTCTGTCTGACATGGCGTACAGCTTGCCTACAGGGAGCTGTGCTCCAGGGAGTAAGTTGATTTGACAGTCAAAGGGTCTATGCGGGGGTAGTTGGTCAGCTTCCCTTTCGCTGAAGACGTCACGGAGATCTGCATATTGTCGTGGTACCTTCACGTTCTCTGTTACTTCAGTCCCTGCTAGGGTGGCTTGGACCCCTGCCAAACCCTTTCCCTCTTTGCAGTGTTCTAAGCAATGTGCTGAACCAAAAGTAACCACTCTCTGATGCCAGCCCACCAGCGGATCATGTAACGCTAGCCAGCTCATCCCCAATATAATGGGAGCTCCTCCCAAGGTGGCCACATTAAAAGCTATCAGTTCGGTGTGCCTTGCTACCTTCATTATCATTGGGACGGTCTGCAAGCTGACTTCTCCACCCAACAGCTCCCTGCCATCGATCGTGGTCACCTGCAGGGGGCTGCTTAAAGGATTGTCTGTATCTGGTGTTCAGCTGCAAACTCTTTGCTCATGAAATTGCAGGAGCTGCCTGAGTCCAACAGCGCCTTTATCTTTAGAGGGTGTCCGTTTGGCAGCTCTAGCGTCACTTCTATCACTAGGGCGGGTTTAGGAGGTTCTGGCGTGGGCACTCTCACTGCTCTTTGGCCTGGCTGCTGTGCCCTGACAGTGGCAGCCAGGCGTTGGCTTTACTTGCTCCGGTATATTTTCCTCTCTTCCATCCACAGCCCCTACCATCCCTTGCCATTCTTTCCTCTGGGGGCAGACTCTGGCAAAGTGACCTGGCTGTTGGCAGAGATAGCATTTCCGGGCGCCTTTTCCCTCCTTCTTTGCCCCCTCACTGGGCTTTGAAACTGCGCGCGCGCGCTGTTCCGATTTCCATCGGCTCTGCCGGTGGGAAAGTTGGCTCTGGAATGTCTGGAATGCGGAACTCCTTCCAACGTTCCCCTTTCCCTTCCCGCCTCTCCAATGCTCTCGCCTCCTGGCGCGCTCCTATGGCCAGCGCTGATTTGGTCAGCTGGTCCATAGACTCCGCCCTGGGCGCCCGGGAAAGTTCGTCTTTCACAGCCGAAGAAAGCCCTTCTTCAAAGAGCATTTGAATGGGTTCCGCCGATAAGTCCCACCCCAATCTGTGAACAAGCATGGTGAACTCAGTCCAGTACTCACGGACAGATCGGCTCCCCTGTTTGCAACCCATTAACTGTCTGCGCACCACTCCCTTTTCAATATCGCTGGAAAACATCAGATCCATGGCGCGAAAGAACTTCATCGTGTCTTTTAAGACGTCACTATTCGCTGCCATCAGGGGTCTAACCCAGTCTCTCGCCCCCTTTTCAAGATGCTCAATCACGAAAGCCACTCGTGATTCCTCGTCAGGGAATTCATCAAACTGCAGATTGAGGGCATATTGCATTTCTGTCCGAAAACCATGATAGTTTTTGGGCTCCCCCCCAAACTTCTGCACCAATCCTGGTACCTTTCTGGCGAACTGGGTGGCTTTCCCCCTTTTGTCTGCATCCTGAGCCCTCCTCTCCTCAAGCCTCGCCGTCTGCATCGCTAGCTGGACCTCCAACATCTGGTACCTTTCTTCCAGGCTTGGACCCGCTCCAGCTCCTGCTTCTCCGGTTCCGGCTGGGTTGCTCATGATACCTTCTCCTGCACAAGCTGCTTTCAAAGACTGTCGGAATGCTGTGATGGGATGATGAGCTGCTTGTGCGTAAAATCGTATCCCCTCAGAGTTTGTTCAAGTCCACAAACCTCTGTCTGTGACAGAGCCCCTCAGACATGGCTACTCTAGTCACTAGCAGATTCCGACAGTGGTTGCTTTCGTAATCGCTTCCAACATAAAAGCTCCTTAACGGAAACACGTCTTCTGGAATCTCTGCGTGACAGTTTCCGGCGAGGAGTGGGTGTTCTTACAGGAGGTCCTGAAACCTCTCCACTGTTTTCGCTGGAAGTGTCTCTGAGCCATCCCTCCAGCTCAGCTCCTCTCCCCCTGCTGGTTCCCTCATCAGCTGCTGCGTCTCTCCCAACCTGTGTGAGCCCTTTCACCTCCCTGTTGGTTTCCTCTTCAGCTGCTGCGTCTCTCCCAGCCTGTGTGAGCCCTTTCACCTCCCTTCCGTCCGATGGCAGTTCCCTGACACTAATGAAGGGAAATCGGAATTTTACAAGAAGTTGCAGGGGACAATGCTGGACTATCTGGATTACAACAACATCATAACGATGGGAGATATGAACGGGGTCGTATCAACCAACATGGACAAGTCACAAAGTCAAAATGTTACAAAAGACGGCAGACTACCTAAAACCTTTTTTGAAATGACTGACAATATGGATTTGATCGACATTTGGAGGACAAAGAACCCACTAGGTAGAGAAGGAACATTCTTTCTGAAGCCCAACTGACCTGGACAAGAATCGACCAAATATGGATTTCTAGAGGCCTGGCACCTAGGGTCAGAAAAGTGGAAATCTGCCCAAAGACCTGTTCTGACCACAATGCAGTAAAGATGGATATGACACTACTACCAACTGGATCCTTTAGATGGAAGATGAATGACAATTTGTTTAGAGATCAGGAAATTACCAAGAAGGCCCAAAAAGTTTTGAAGGACTATTTTGAGATAAATATGAATAATTCGGTGGAAAAAAGAATCGTCTGGGACGCAAGCAAAGCTGTAATGAGGGGATTCTTGATACAACAGAATGTAGTAAGGAAAAAAACACAAAATGAGAAAAAGATAAGATCTTGGATAAAATAAAAGAATTAGAGAAGAAATTAAGAGTGAATCCAAAGTCACAGCCAACTCTGAGAGAAATTAAACTTTATCAAACACAATATTCTAAATTGATAAATCAGGAAATTGAATGGAAGGTTAAATTAATGAAACAAAAACGTTTGAGTCGGCGAATAAATGTGGAAAACTGCTAGCTTGGCAGTTGAAGAGAAGACAAAGATTAAACACGGTTACAAACTTAGAGGTTGATGGAAAAAACATTCAGAATCCAGTGGATATTAGAAAGTGTTTCCAGAGATATTTTAAAAATTATACACCCAAGGGCCGCAAGACGAAGTTGAGATTAAACAATTTTTGGCAAAAAATGGATTATCTAAATTGTCACAAGAAAACAGGACAATCCTGAACTCTAAAATAACACGACAGGAGATTGAACAAGCTATTCAGAACATGCAACTTGGCAAATCTCCAGGGCCAGATGGGCTGACCTCCAAGTATTATAAGACATTAAAAGACTATTTGATACAACCTTTGATGGAGGTCAGCAATGAAATTATGGAGGGAAGAGGGCACCGGATTCGTGGAAGGAAGCGTTCATCACATTAATACCAAAGTCAGAAGCTGAAAAGACACAACTGAAGAACTACCGTCCCATCTCTCTTTTAAATGTGGATTACAAAATATTTGCAGATATTTTGGCAAGTAGATTCAAAAAAAGTTTTAAATGAAGTAATTCATAAGGACCAGGCCGGTTTTCTCCCAGGTAGACATCTGTTTGCTAACACAAGGAACATTATTGACATCTTGGAACTTCTGCAAACAGATATAAATACAAAAGCAGTTTTAATTTTCATAGATGCGGAGAAGGCCTTTGACAATATTTCCTGGAAATTTATGATGGGAAATTTAAAAGAGATGGGAGTGGGACGGGGTTTTGAGAATGGGATTGAGGCGATATATTCAGAACAGAAAGCTAAACTGATAGTTAATAATGTGGTCACAGAAGAGTTCAAAATTGAAAAAGGGACACGACAAGGTTGCCCTATCTCCCCTTTGTTATTTATTTCGGTTCTGGAAGTGCTACTGAACATGATTAGAGGGGATCGGTTGGTGGAAGGAATTCAGGTTGGTCAGAAACAATATAAACTAAAAGCTTTTGCAGATGACCTGGTTTTGACCCTGCAGAAGCCAGAGCCCAGTACGAAAAGAGTATTACAATTGATTAATGACTTTGGTCGGGTGGCGGGATTTAAATTAAATAAACAGAAAACTAAGGTTTTGGGGAAAAATTTGACTGATACAGAGTCAGAACGGTTTCAGAATGAGACGGAACTTAATGTGGTTAAAAATGTAAAATACCTAGGGGTAAACATAACAGCCAAAAATATAAGTCTATTTAAGGATAACTATGAAAAATGTTGGACAGAAATTAAGAGAGACTTAGACAGTTGGTCAAAATTGAAACTTTCTTTGTTAGGCCGAATTGCTGCTATTAAGATGAATGTATTGCCAAGGATGTTGTTTTTATTTCAAACACTTCAGGTTTTGGACAAAACGGAGTGCTTTCAGAAGTGGCAGAGAGATATTTCGAAGTTTGTCTGGCAGGGCAAAAGCCCAGAATCAAGTTTAAGATATTAACTGATGCAAAACAAAGAGGGGCTTTGCCCTGCCGGACTTAAAGTTGTATTATGAAGCCGCAGCGTTCTGCTGGCTAAAAGACTGGCTACTTCTTGAAGACACTGATGTGTTGGATTTGGAAGGGTTTAATAATGTTTTTGGATGGCATGCATATTTATGGTATGACAAAGTTAAAGCAAATAAGGCCTTCAAGAACCATATTGTCAGAAAATCATTGTTTAATGTCTGGACAAAATATAAAGACTTGCTGGAAAATAAAACACCAAGGTGGCTTTCACCTTTGGAAGCTAAGGCCCGAAAAAGACCCAATATGGAGGCTAAATGGCCAAAATATTGGGAAATACTAGAAAAGATGGAGACAATTGGAAATTGCAGAGTTTGGAGAAAATGAAAGACAAAGTGCGAGATTGGTTACATTACGCTCAGATTAAAGAAGTTTTTAAAAATGATAAGAAACTAGGGTTCCAGGTGGAGAAATCGAAATTAGAAACAGAATTGTTAGAACCAAAGATTAAGGTACTTTCAAGGATGTATAACTTGCTGTTGGAATGGAATACACAAGATGAAATGGTTAAATCGGCTATGATAAGGTGGGCACAGGACATTGGGTATAATATTATGTTTGAGGACTGGGAAAGGTTGTGGAGTAATGGATTGAAATTTACTGCATGTAACGCTCTGAAAGAAAATGTAATGAAAATGATTTATAGATGGTATATGACCCCAGTTAAACTTGCAAAAATTTACCACCTGTCTGATAATAAGTGTTGGAAATGTAAAGAGTGTGAGGGAACGTTCTTCCACCTCTGGTGGACCTGCCCTAAAGTGAAGGTGTTCTGGGAAATGATTTATAATGAATTGAAAAAGGTATTTAAATATACCTTCACCAAGAAACCAGAGGCTTTCCTTTTGGGTATTGTCAGCCAAGGGGTGGCAAAGAAGGACCAGACATTTTTTATGTATGCAACAACAGCAGCAAGGATACTTCTTGCAAAACATTGGAAAACTCAAGATTTACCCACACTGGAAGAATGGCAGATGCAACTGATAGACTACATGGAACTGGCTGAAATGACCGGCAGAATTCGTGACCTGGGAGAAGAGAGAATCGAGGAGGATTGGAAGAAATTTAAGAACTATCTACAAAAATATTGTGATTTGAGCGAATGCTAAATAAGATGCTAGACTAAATAACTGAGCACCACTTAACTTAGAAGTTTTTAAGAAAATAAGTAAGACTGTGAAAGTTTAACTCTCTATGAGAACCATAAGATTATGAAATATTGAAGAGATATAAGAATTTAAATAAGATGATAAATTGCTGACAAAATGTTATAACGATGAAAGTGGGAGCGGGAGATGTGAGGAAGTCCAAAGAAAATGTGAAACTATGTTAAGACAAATGTTATATTGTTTACTATGTTTATTCTTACTGTAAAACCCAATAAATTGCTTTAAAAAAAAAAACAAATTGAAGTAAATTTTTTAAGTCCAATTCCTTTCTGTTCGCAAGTCCTTATTTAAAGTCCAATTGTTCAAAGTTTAAGTACTCACGGGTGCTTATTTTAGAAGCCAATTTGTCCCAGGAAAAAGGCAGCGCTCTCCGGCAACAGCTGTGCGGCTTCGCTCCACGGAAATAGCAGTTGACTCACAGCACCGCGCCACTTCCCCCTCTTCACTTCGGAGCCCGTTAGTGGGTTCCTTTGCGGGTTGGGGGGGCGCTAAGGGTGCCCGCCGAGTCCCATGGTCACAGGCTTCATCTGCCTGTGATTTTTAAAAGGGTCCCCGCTTCGCCGTAGCGGAGAAGACCCGTTTCGCGCGGAGCTAGTCCCTCCAATTCAGAGGGAGCCTGCACCACAAAAAACAGTGAGTTTGGGTTGGCCCAATGCAAAAAGTGTGATGATCCATGAGGATCCATGCTTCAAAATCACGTTTTTGGGCCATGATATGACCAGGAAGCCCTGGATCCAAGTTTTTTGTGGTGTAGGCTGTGCCCCTGGACATGATGTGTGATTTGACAGTGAGTGTGGGTTGGCCCAATGCAAAAAGTGTGAGAATCTATGAGGATCTGTGCTTCCAAACCACGTTTTTTGGCCATGGTATGACCAGGAAGCCGTGGATCCGAGTTTTTTGTGGTGCAGGCTGTGCCCCTGGACATGATGTGTGATTTGACTGTGGGTTTAGGGTGGCTCAATGCGAAAAGCATGAGAATCTATGAGGACCCGTGCTTCAAAACCACGTTTTTGGGCCATGGTATGAGCAGGAAGCCGTGGATCCAAATTTTTTGTGGTGCAGGCTGTGCCCCTGGACATGATGTGTGATTTGATGGTGAGTTTGGGTTGGCCCAATGCAAAAAGCGTGAGGATCCATGACGATCCGTACTTCAAAACCACGCTTTTGAGCCATGGAGTTGCCAGGAAGCCATGGATTTTAGTTTTGTTTGGTGCAGGCTGTGCCCCTGGACATGATGTGTGATTTGATGATGAGTTTGGGTTGGCTCAATGGAAAAAGCGTGAGGATCCGTGACGACCCATGCTTCAAAACCACGTTTTTGGGCCATGGAGTGGTCAGGAAACCGTGGATCCGAGTTTTGTGTGGTGCAGGCTGTTCTCCTGGACATGATGTGTGATTTGACAGTGAGTTTGGGGTGGCTCATTGTAAAAAGTGTGACGATCCTTGAGGATCCGTGCTTCAAAACCACGTTTTTGGGCCATGGAGTTGCCAGGAAGCCATGGATTTTAGGGTTTTTTTGGTGCAGGCTGTGCCC